AAAAAAAAAAAAAAAAAAAAGGATCCACAGGCTAATTAGCTGGATGTTCTTGTCATGAGCCATGAGATGTTCCAAAAATGTATGTGCTGGTGAGACACAGGGCAACCTGGTCTGGGTCTACCTCATGTAGGGTGGAGCCACAAGAATCATGTATGACAGGCTGAGAGGGGTGGCAACATAGGGATTCTGGGTGAACTGTTTGGGGCCTCATTTGGCGATGTTTGCCAGATGTTTAAGACTGATGAAGAAACAGGAATGATTGGAAATGGAAAAGAAAGGCGCAGCTCAACTGTGGGAGTGAGGAGGAAGCTGAAGTGTATTCAATGTGGTGGCTCATCATGACTTAAAAAAATTCAGAGCTAAAGGGGACTGAGTAATGTGCACTACTGTATATCTTGTTTAGATGGACTGCACTGACCTGTCTTTGTGGTGGGTTCCCATTGGTATCTTGATCTTTTTGGTTGAGATCAAATGTAGAAGAAGGGGAGGGTGTTAGAGCTGGCCCTGGCCCCGGCCCTCTCTGTGCTGGCCTGGTATTGTAGCACCTCCAGACCTGGTGCCAGTTCCATGTGAAGGGAACACCTGCCTGTTTTTTTTAAGGGGCATACGCACACATAAAAGGTTCCCATCAGCATATCAAATATAGCATTTTTGGCAACAAGGGGAGGGTTTTGGGGCTGGCTCTGGTCCTCTCAGTATTGGGCTGGTTTTGTAGTATCTACCTCTAGTCCTGGTGCCAGTTCCCTGTGGAGGAAACACCTGCCCATTGTTTTAAGGGAAAAATTTAAAAACAGGTTCCCATCAGCATTTTTGGCACTGGGGGAAGGTGTCAGAGCTGGCTCTAGTTTTTTTGAATGCTGGTCTGGTATTGCAGTACCTCCAGGTCTGATGCTTGTTCCCTCTTGGGAAAGAAACTGCCTGGTTTTTTGTTTGTTTGTTTGTTTAATTAAGGGCCACACACACAAAAAAATCGGTATGTTTGCTCATTATGAGCATATGATTTGTAGTCATGCTCAGTGTTGGCTGCATTTTAATTATCTTAATAGTTGATTTCTATTACTGTGTACGTGCTGCTTTTGGCAGCAGTTGAATGATTGATAATGTATTTAATGTGGTTTCTTTGATGCAACTGTAAGATGAGGAGCTTTTTCTACCCATACTGATTTGTGGGGGAAGAACCTTGTTTTATATTCAAATAAATTACAGTGAGGAAGGAAAGGAAAGATGTGGAAATGAAATTAAGTAAAAATAAACTAAACACATCACATCACCATATGCAGATGTTGCATGTATGGAACTTTGCCTGACTTCAGTGAGTCTTTGTATGGAAAATTATTCTTGGAAGTGTTTGTAGGCTAAGGAGAAGTGCAGACTAGAAAAGACATCTTCTAGATTTTGGGTTTTTTGGGGGGCTTTGGGTCTTTTTTTTTTTTTTGGCTGTAAAAATTGCTCACTTCCTTTTATCCTCAACTGCTTTTCTCATAGTTAAAGCTCATGCTGTTCTGATCTAACAAACTGGTAGCAGCGGTGGAATTTAAATAAAACCTGAGAAGTGATGCAGCTGCTTAATGTTGGCTACATGTTTTCAGTGTAATAAACAGTGCAAGATAAAGTGTTGCTCCAAACATTTGTCCTGACCAAATGTACTTGTTTAATATACAAACATTATGACCTTTTGTCTCTGTTTATAATGGTCTTAAACTGATGGGTCTAGCAAAACATTTACTACCTGACAGTGAACTAACATCACCTTCCTAACATCATACATTTTAAGAAGGATAATTAGGAGATGGTGTTTGCCTCAAATTATTCACTGAAGGCATGGTGAAAAGAATTAAATCATGGAAGTTAATATAACCAGATAATTGCTCTGAAATCTAAAATGAACCTTAATAGTTCAGCAATTAGTGGCAAGATATAAAAAGTAAAAACTAAATGTAATTTTGTAATTTAAGGCTTTCTATGTGATTTAAGTTGGTTTAAAATGAATGTCTTTTTCTTGCATTTGAGGATTCTCAGAAATCAGACTATGATCCCTGTAAACATCTATAAGTTCAAATAACTATATGCTCAGAGAAGTCAGACTAATTTAATCTATAAAAGTTTTGTGGGGGGAGGAGGGGAAGCAGGTAGGAAAATATATTTTCCAATCCACTATTATTACAGTACCTCAGATCACTTGTAGAAATCTTGTATTCAGTGATGGAAATCTTTCCTCTACACTTGTAGAAATCAGTGAAATTGCCAGGAGAGATTATTATAGGGAGATCTTGGTGTTACTCATATATTTAGATTCATATACTTATATGTATATATGTGTGTGTGTGTGTGTGTGTGTGTGTGTGTGTGTGTATAACCTAGGATATATATAGTTATATTTCTTAGATATTTATATTATACTCTTATACTTAGTTTGCCATATATATGTGATATATCCTAGATTATACACACTTAGACTCATGCACTTACATACACATACATATATGTAAGTGTGAGTGCATATGTATGTAAGTATATGAGTCTAAGTGTGTGTGTGTATATTTAAGTATGTGAATGTGTGTGTATGTCTATTTAAGTATTTGAGTCTAAGTGTGTGTGTTGGTGTATAATCTACGTGTGCACACCCTCCCCCCCCCATATTAACTTGATTAGAAAACAGTATCCTTCCCCATTTAACATAGGGGGGAAAGCCGCTTGCCTTACAATTAAGCGTGAGTCAGGGGTGGGGGTGTGCAGGCAGCTACTGTAGCTCTGGCCCTAACCCAGGGTTGTGGCTGGGGCTCGTGCTGGAGCTGGAGCCAGAGCCACAGCTGCCTCCTGCCACACTCTTCCTTACTTTTGTTCAATGCTGGCAGGCTCTATCACTGCTGCAACCTGGGGCATGGAAAGTCTGATGAATGCTAGGTATTAGAACCTTGAAGAAATATTTATATTATACTCCTATACTTAGGCTGCCACACACACACACACACACTCTTAGACTTGCATATATATGCACCCGTGTGTGTGCACGTGTGTGTGTGTGTGTGTGTGTGTGTGGCAACCTAAGTATAGGAGTATAATATAAATATTTCTTCAAGGTTCTTATACATATAGCATTCAGCAGACTTTCTAAATTCATTAGGGAGAGAATTTTGGGGTTGGAAAACTGCTTTTTCCGTGTCACAAAGAATTCATTCAAGTTTAGCTGAACTATCAAATCCTAAAACATTGCCTTTCCCATTTGTTGTCTGTTGACAACAACATTTTGGGAGAATGCTAGAATAACCACCTGACCATGAATGCATTTTTAAAAGAGGTTCATGCTACTACAAAAGCTGAAGAAGCACAAACAGCAGCAGAAATCCTGGGAACAGACATTCTCTGAAAGCATAAGACAGCTGTCCAGGTGCCTCAGGACAACTTACCTTGGAACCCACAGGTGACCTCATTAGTATCTGCAACCTTGCCCTGCAGAAGCATTGTACTGGATACAGATCTTTTACTTCTGAGCAACTGTGGGGGGGGGGAGACAGGGGAGGGTTCAGCTGCACCAAGTGCTACCCAGATTTCCCTGAGGTCAAGCACATAGTGCCAGTGACCACAGAGTTTAGAATAAGGATCAGCAGCTCCTTTCTGGTGTCTACTGTAGTTATTCACACAGCACTTATAGGAATGTGGTGAACATCAGGGTTTGAGCCCTGATGACTGCAGGGAAGAAGTGGAAGAGAGAACAGAATGAGATTGTTAGTGCAAGTAATAACATTTAGTGTTGCCTTTTTTCTTAAATAATAATTAAAACCTACATTAAAAGTTTCAACTTGTAAAATCAAACACTCAAGTTAGGAAATCCTGAATCAAGGTTGTCTGCATAGTTTGAAATCTGCCCTCAT